CCCTTTCTCCCCCTATCCGTCTGTCTCCTCCCTCTCCTCCTCCGCTCTCCCCATTACCTCCCGCCGCACCCTGGGAAGACCTGTTATGACTAGTTCTTTTACTCGACTGAAATAGTCCAACTTGCACTGATCTGAGCCTTGCCTTCTCCATCCACTCTTTTTCCTTTTTCCCGCTTTCCCCCTTTCTCCTCCCCTTTCGTCCTCCCTCCCTCCCATCCCTCCCGCCTCTCCTCCCTCTCCCCCCCTCTCCAGGCTCTTCCCCTCACATGCCCAGGTACATACAACCAGTACCACCACGTGCCCTTCACAATGATGCACAAGGCGCACAGACAGACACCATCCTCACTCTCTTCTGCTCCCTTCTGCCCCCTTATGCCCCTGCTTCTTCCCCCCCGTCCCAACTTTCCCCACCATCCACGCACCCAGGGATGACCTATACCGGCACCTGCCGTCCACCGTAAAGCACAAGCACACGGACAGACACCATCCTTACTCCCTTCTGCTCCCTTCTGCTCCCTCATGCCCCTGCTTCTTCCCACTTTCCCCACCATCACTCACCCAGGGATGACCTATACCGGCACCTGCCGTCCACAGTGAAGCACAAGGTGCGGCGGCGGCTGAGCAATCGCAGCCGTCCGTTCGACGTGGAGGTAGCGGCTGAGATGCGGCGCAGCACGGAGCAGATGCTGGCGTGGGTTCTGCCCATGGCGCAGCGAACACTGGCATGGCAGGCAGAGCACTCGTACGGGTGTCACCTGAGCAAGCGCCAGCGCTCCCTGCACATTCAGGTGAGAGAACTTGGTGGAAGGGGAGGGGCTGTGTTCGGGTCTTGGGTTGGGATTGGGGGGTGTGGGAATGCAGGGGCGCATTGCGGAGCACAGCAGAGCAGAGCAGGGCTGAGTGCAAGCTGGGAGCAGAGGCTTGGATTAAGGGCGCGCAGGTGAAGGTTGGACATGGTCGGGGCAGCAGCAGCAGCAGCAGCAGCAGCAGCAGCAGCAGCAGCACGGAGCAGATGCTGGCGTGGGTTCTGCCCATGGCGCAGCGCACGCTGGCATGGCAGGCAGAGCACTCGTACGGGTGTCACCTGAGCAAGCGACAGCGCTCCCTGCACATTCAGGTGGGAGAGTAGGGGGGAGGGGCGCAGGGAACTGGGGGGAGGGGGGATTGCGGGTTGGGGTTATAGAGGGGACGGACTGCTGGCGTGGGTGCTGCCGATGGGGCAGCGCACGCTGGCATGGCAGGCAGAGCACTCGTATGGGTGCCACCTGAGCAAGCGACAGCGCTCCCTGCACATTCAGGTGGGCGATGGTACAGGAAATGGTAATGGATTTGAGTGAAAGGGGGTGAGGGACAGAGGAGACGGGATCCTGTAGCGTGGGTGCTGCCCATGGCGCAGCGCACATTAGTGTGGCAGGCAGAGCACTCGTATGGGTGCCACCTGAGCAAAGGGCAACGCTCCCTGCACGTTCAGGTGAGGTGGAAAGGAGCACAGGGAATGACAGGGAGGGAAGTGGTTAGGGAGAGGAGGGAGGAGAGGAGGGGGAGAATGGGACAAAGGGGAAAGGGCAGAGGAAACGGGATGCTAGTGTGGATGGTGTGATATATTTCTCCTGTGTGGGTCATGTGGCTGCCTTGCCTTGCCCGCACCCTGCACTTCCCTGCCCATTCCTTTTCCTCAGAACTCCCACTACTTAGAGTTCCTGCCCATTCCTTAGAATGCTTCGAGCTGCTGCTGGTCAAAGCACCCGTGACCCTCTGCTACTCCTCGTCAGGCTCTCCCCACTTCTCCCCCACACTCTCTCCCCCACACTCTCTCCCCCACACTCTCTCCCCCACACTCTCTCCCCCACACTCTCTCCCCCACACTCTCTCCCCCACACTCTCTCCCCCACTCTCTCCCCCACACTCTCTCCCCCACTCTCTCCCCCCCACACTCTCTCCCCCACACTCTCTCCCCACACTCTCTCCCCCACACTCTCTCCCCCACACTCTCTCCCCCACACTCTCTCCCCCACACTCTCTCCCCCACACTCTCTCCCCCACACTCTCTCCCCCACACTCTCTCCCCCACACTCTCTCCCCCACACTCTCTCCCCCACACTCTCTCCCCCACACTCTCTCCCCCACACTCTCTCCCCCACACTCTCTCCCCCACACTCTCTCCCCCACACTCTCTCCCCCCACACTCTCTCCCCCACACTCTCTCCCCCACACTCTCTCCCCCACACTCTCTCCCCCACACTCTCTCCCCCACACTCTCTCCCCCATACTCTGCCTTCCCCCTCCCCATTGCCTGTCCCCCCTCCAGACCCTCCATTACGTGGACAGGGAGTGCTTCGAGCTACTCCTAGTTGACATGCCCGTAACCCTGAGCTACTTCTACTTCTCATCAGCCTCTCCCCCACTCTCACCCCCACACCACGTACTCTGCCCTCCCCCTTCCCATCATTTCTCCCCCTTCAGACCCTCCACTACGTGGACCGCGAGTGCTTCGAGCTACTGCTAGTGGAGATGCTCGTGAGTCTGAGCTACTTCTGCCGGCCCGCGGGTCTCACCAACATAAAGCCGGAGGAGGAGGCGGCATGGAAGATGTGGCAGAGCTCAGGCGGGCTCATCCAGCCCTCCTTCGTCAACCCGCACCGAGGGGCCGCGGGCCCTGGGGGAGGAGGGGATGGGAGGGATGAAGCAGCGGGTGCTGTTGATGCGCCTGCTGCTGTGCCTGCTTCGGGTGCACCTGCTGCTGCTGGTCCCAGTTCCAGTGCCACTGGTGCAGGCGCTCCTGCTGGTTCTGCTTCTGCTTCTCCTGTAGCCGCACCCAGTGCTGGTCTAGCGCCAGTTTCCTCTGATGCGAATGTGAATGCGAATGGGAGTGACCAGGCTGCAGCACCCTCTGGTGCAGGTCGCTCCCCCTCTGCCTCTCCAGAGCGTTGCGCTGAATCAGGGAGTCAGCCCCAATGTCAACCCGAGCCCACGCCTGCTGCCCCAAGCGCTGCTGCTGCTGCTGCTGCGGCTACTGCCCCTAGTGCTCCTACTGCTGTTGCAGCAGAGAAGAGCGATTGTGATTCTTCCACTGCCACCCCTCCTCGGCCAATTCCTCCTGCTTTTCGCTCCAGCAGCAGTACCACCACTACGAGCAGCAGCAGCAGCAGCAGCAGTAGTGGAGCCCAGGTTTCTCCTATCAACAGCAACCATGCCAGCACACCCTCTGAGAGCCCTTCTCACACAACACTATCAAGAGCGAACGATGGGGCACTTGAGGGAGAGGAGGGAGGGGTGTGTGGCGGGGGTGTGTGTGTTTCCTCCGGTGCTGTCAAGAGCGTGTGTGCAAGACACCAGGCATCGCTCGTGCCTGGTCAGATCGCCAGCTGCGTGGGAGGGAGCTAGGAAGGGATGCGGTGAGAGATTGGGGACAAGATCTTTGACACGTCTTGAAAGGCAACTGCGTGGAAGGGAGCTAGGGAGGAAGGAGATGAGATAAGACGTTGGAAATAAAAGTTTTAATGGAGACTGAGACTTGTCAGCTCAGCACAGGGTGGTGGCTGTGAGAGGTGGAGCTTGGGAGCCAGAGAGACCGTCTGGGGATAAGAGGTACCGAGTTGCAGGAGCATCCTGCGACTCCTTGTAGAGCGTTTCGGTTGTAGGAGAAAGCTTGTGCCGGTCGAAAGCTTCTTCCTATGCTGTGAATTGATAGTTTCTCCTTCCCTCCATCCCTCCCTCCCTCCTGTCCTCTGTTCGAAAGTGTAGCACGCCCCTCAACGGATCAGTTTCCCTGCCTCTTTGTTTTTACGGTGTACCAGTTGTGCCAATTGCCATTTCATCACTTGCTGTCAGAGGAGCTGATGTTGGATGGGTTGTTCTGGATGCTCTTCGTTGTTTTCATTGAGCATTTGGCAGCTTTCAATGTTTCTTCTCATTTTGATTCACCTCCATATATTCATGAGATTTCTAGACGAATGTGTAGCATGCGTTGTGTAGTGCAGAAGCACACGTGCTGACGTGAACTGCAGATATTTGGGGTCGGCGAAAAGCAGACAACCCCAAGAGCTTCCACGAAACTTTCGCTCACCTCATCCTCGCGTAACGTAACGATGGTCTTCGTTTTGTCGCCTAGCTAGGCTTGTTTGCCCTGTCCAGCAGGAAACCTACTCATGCGAACGAAACTGCCCTTGCGTGCGAAACTGGTCACCCCTTCACTGTGGGTGCGAAAATGATGGTCACCCCATCGCTGTACAGTAGGTTGCCATCTTGCATCACCCAATCCTGAATCTCGAGTTTTGCTGCAATCCAGACGCGACGCGCTAGCAACCGCAAATGCTGCAGGGCAGGGAAATCGCATAAATTTCGTGCCCGACACAACCATATCGTCTCGTCGTCGGAGCTCTCGAGTCCACTCAATTTCTTGGTTCTTCAGAAAGCTTTTCAATCTCACAAACGAAAATCCTCGGACGTTCCTGATTCAGCCCCCATAGCTCCCATAGCTGATTCAGCCCCCATAGCTCTCGCCGTTCCTGCTTTTTCGGTGCGCTCGCAAGCGAAAATCCTCGGAAACCATGGCTGCTGGTGTTGATACGCTTCCTGGGACAGGCTGGTTCGCCAACGGAATCAACACCACCCAGCACTTTTCTCCCAACTCGACGGCATCAAGCCGAGTCTTCGAGGCAGCGTCACGCCTAGTCGACTCTTCAAGCCTAGTAATACTAGCCGACTCAAAACTCCTCATCGCAGCGGTTGTCGCAGCCGTCGCGGTTCTAATCTCCACTTCGTGGCTCTCATTCCTCCGCCGCCGTCGCGCCCTCCCCCCCGGCCCTTCCCCATGGCCTATCCTCGGCAATCTCCCGGACCTGGGACCCTTGCCTTTCCGCTCCTTCGCGAAGCTGGCAGAGAGGTACGGCCCGATACTGACCGTCTGGTTCGGTTCCACGCCGTCAGTAGTGGTTTCGTCGCCGGAGGTCACCCGCGAGGTGCTTAAAACGAATGATAAGCTCTGCTCGTCTCGTCCGATGAATCGCACGTTGGCTATTCTCTCTCTCGACGGCAAAAACATCACGTTTTCGCCAGCCAACGACCACTGGCGAAAGATGCGACGGCTGGCGACGCTCCACCTTCTGTCTGCGAAGAATTTGCAGAATAGCCTTCATGTGCGAGAGGAGGAGATTCGCGACATGCTCGATGCGATCGCTGCTGACGCAACAATGAGTACTTCGGATGTGATTAAAACGGGTGCTGCTGCTATGGGAGGAACCGCGAAATCTGCCGCCGAGGCGCAAGAGGGGGTGGAATTGCGAAGGTATTTAAATCGCGCGACGCTGAGCAACATTATGCGCCTGACAGTCGGGAAGCGCTTCGGTTATTCCTCGATTCGCGGCGCGGCCGGCACCACGCCGAAGGCGATTCTCGAAGCTGCCATGCGCATCGACTGGAACGAGCGCATCGCCGCAATCAGCGGCGAGAAACGCGGAGGAGAGATACGCAGCGGCGCTGCCGGCGCGGCTGCAGCTCCAGCTGTTAGGTCTGAGGAAACGGAATGCAGTACTGCCGCTAAGACCAACTTCTCGTCTTCAATGGAGGAAGCGGAAGGAGAGGTGGCGTTTGCGATAATCGAGGAGGGCTTTGCTCTTGCGGGAGCTTTCAATATCGCGGATTACGTGCCGTGGCTGAGCTACTGGGACCCGCTGCGCATGTACACGCGCGCGCAGCGCCTTGCGCCGCAGCTGCACGGTTTCATGCGCGCGTGCATCGCGGAGCGACGTGCGCTCGTGCGGCAGAAGAAATGCCCGGAAGAATCGAGGCGCGAGAATCTTCTTGCGCCAGGGACTCTGGCGGCGACGACGGCGGGGCCTGCGGTTATAGAGCCGGAGGGACTGAAGGGACACGACGAGACGGCTCTTGTTGATGCATTGTTCGAGACTGAAGGGGAGGGGGAGGATCAGATGGATAAAGACGAGATTCTGATGCTCGCGATTGATATGATGATGGCCGGCACTGACACCACCTCCAAGACTGTCGAATGGGCGCTTGCTGAGCTGGCGCAGCACCCCGCCATGCTGGAAACGCTGCGCGCTGAGGTGGATGCGGCGTATGCAAGGTCAGCAAATGCGGCCGCCGAAACTGGGACGGCTGCAGCAGCGGGATCGGGAGTTATGGTATCTCTGCCTGTAGCGGAAATGCCATACCTGCAGGCCGTTCTAAAAGAAACACTTAGGCACCATCCGGTTGCTCCGTTCCTCGTTCCCCACCAGACAACTGGCAGCGTAACTCTCGGTGGTTACCACATCCCTCCCAACACCATGGTCCAGATCAACGCCTGGGCTCTCGCGCACGATCCAACGGTCTGGATTAACCCGCACAAATTTGACCCCTCCCGGTTCCTTGACCCTGCTGCCCCGGATGTGACCGGGCAAAATTTCAGCCTGCTGCCTTTTGGTTCGGGCAGGCGCGGGTGCCTTGGGACAAACCTGGGCTTGGACCTATCTGCGCGCCTGCTGGCGAATTTCGTTTTGCGGTTTAATTTCAAGCTGCCCGAAGATGTGCGGGCAGCTGGAGGGATGGACATGATGGAAACTTTTGGGCTGACTATGGCTCTGGCCAAGCCGCTCAGACTGGTGTTGAGGGAGAGAAAGGCGGTGGCAGGGGCAGCGGTGGCTGCTTCAGGAGCATGAGCTGCAAGGGGTGCTTTTTGGGCTTGAGCTTGGTTGAGCAGCAGGCTACTACCGTACCATAATCTACGTAAATAAACGTGTTTGCTTGCACACTCTGGAAAGGAGGCTTTTTCTAACCTGACCGTAGTTTGGTTGCCTCTATGGCATTTGGGAGTGTGAAGGGGTGACTGACAGAAGCGCATGGGGGGTGGGGGGTTTTCAATGCAAAGCTAAAGACAAGCGATGGCACTAAGCAAGACTCGTGATTGGAATTTCATGTTACCGTAGTTCAGTCCAACCTAAGCATACCAGGCTACGCATGGCTGGTAGGAAGAATTGTCTTACCCCTGCTTTGTCTTGCCTTTTGCTTCGTGCCATGTTGTCGTGCAAGTACGACCAAACAGTTGTTTCTGTACAGATGAGCTGACTTCTCATAGCATACATGGACAAGGCAAGGCGAGAGTAGAGTACGGTGCGGTACTGCTGCCTGCTGCTTTCCAGCTTCGCATGTACCGTACAAACCTTGAATTCTATGGTACATGAAGAGTCACAGTGGCACGCAGTCCTCCTGGCTCTCACTGGCTGACCCTACCATCCAGACTAACGGACGGAAACACCTGTTCTGTGGCAGCTACAACCACAGATTCTGAAGATGAGAAGAGAGATGCACGCAACAGGATGGTAGGGTCGGGAGGGTGGAAAGTGGTGGAGAGTGGTGGAGCAGGGTAAAGCGTGGAGGAGAACGGCAGTGTTGGAGCCATACAGGATTTCTCTGTAGGCTTCTTTTGTGCCGGAACCTTCCCTGAAATGGCTGCATGAAGGAGCTTCCCAGGGTCGTGCTCTGAAGAAGAGAAGGCAACACCCGGCATCAGGAGCACGTGCGTGCACACAGGGGAAACGGATGAGAGGCGTGAGGAGATGGATGAGAGGCGTGAGGAGATGGATGAGAGGCGTGAGGAGATGGATGAGAGGCGTGAGGAGATGGATGAGAGGCGTGAGGAGATGGATGAGAGGCGTGAGGGGATGGATGAGATGAGAGCCTGAGAGGCATATGATGCAAGAGAGATCTATACACGGCAAATGCAGTTGGGGTGTAAGCCATGGCAGGTGAGAGGACTTTACAGGTGGCAAGACTGCACAGGTGAAAAGACCTGGCAGGTGAAACACAGGTAACTGACAGGTAAGCCTGGTGTTAGACCCCTTGGCGTACCAGCATGAGTCACAGCACCCACCTCCACCCCCGGGGTTCACGAGGTAAGCGGGAGTGGAGGTCGCTTCAAGCTGCGGCCAAACACGCAAGGGGGAGGAAGGGCAGGGAGGGAAACACGAGCGCAGCAGGGGAGTTTTGATCCAACTCAAAACGCACGCATTGAAAGGGATAATGCGAGGGGGAAGTGAGGGCAGGGGCAAGAGGAGAGCGAGCTTGGGGGGAGTTGACATAGAACAAGGGGGGAGCTACAAGTGAATGTGCGATAAGGAAGCGAGGAGACGTGAGAACACAGGTGCAGGTGGAATACAGGAGGGAGAGGGAGGGGGTTACACGCGGACAAGAAAGGGATTGGGGAGGGTGAGGAGAAAGGATGATGAGAAGTAGATAGTAACCCCTGTAATACCCCCAGCCCAACACACACACACACCCACACACACGCGAACCCCCCTCCCCCCCCAACCTACACGCTCCACCCCCCTTTCTTCCTCCAACACACACCTGTTCTGCCAGCTTGGTAGCAAGAGCAAGAACCCCCTTGCCTCCAGCAGCAACTGCAGCAGCCAGAGCAGTCGCGACAGGCTTAGGAGCGGAGGCAGGCGGGGCGAAGGCAGGGTGCTTGCTTGGGGGACAGCTTGAGCACTGGAGGAAACACCTTGGAACTGGGGGAGGGATGGGGGAGGGATGGGGGAGGGATGGGGGGAGTGATGGGGGGAGTGATGGGGGGAGTGATGGGGGGAGTGATGGGGGGAGTGATGGGGGGAGGGATGGGGGGAGGGATGGGGGAGGGATGGGGGAGTGATGGGGGGAGTGATGGGGGGAGGGAGGGGGGAGTGATGGGGGGAGGGATGGGGGAGGGATGGGGGAGGGATGGGGGAGGGATAGGGGAGGGATGGGGGAGGGATGGGCGAGAGATGGGCGAGGGATGGGGGAGGGATGGGGGAGGTATGGGGGAGGGATGGGGGGGGATGGGGGAGGGATGGGGGAGGGATGGGGGAGGGATGGGGGAGGGATGGGGGAGGGATGGGGAATAATGGGGTGCGAAGGAGGGGTGGAAGGCAGCCCCGTCGTATCCTATCTGGAAGTAGTAAGCTGCTTGCTTGGGGGACAGCTTGAGGCACTGGAGGGAGCACCTTGGAGCGGGGGGAGGGATGGGGGAGGGATGGGGGGTGATGCGGGATAATCGGGGGTGGATGGGTAATGATGGGGGGGGGGCAAGAAGCGGAGGAAGGCAAGGTTGAGAACGAGAGGGGAGAAGGGGGGAAAGGTGGGGAAGGTGGGGGTGTTGGGGAACGATTGCTGTATGGGAGTGGTTTCAGGCTCATTGGTTGCTGTTTGATTCGCTTGTGGCATGGCAAGGCATGCATGGACAAACACATGCACGCATGCATGCATGCACATCGACAAACACATGCTCACTTATGAGACCTTAAAAAACCGAGCCACACCGCACCCGACCACTCCCCACCTGTCTGACGTCAGCAGCACCACTGCATTCGGCTTGAGGTATAGGCTCGGCGCCGAAGCGTCCTTGACCGGAAAGAGACGGGCCACACCGGCCGCGCTCCACAGGAGGGAATCTTCCAGAAAGGCGGCAGACTTGGGGAGGACAGGGGCGGCGGATGGGTGGGAGAACAGCAGGCAGGAGCCAGGCTTGCTTAGGATCAGCCTGGGAAGAGGGAAGGTGGGGCAGGGGTATCGTGGGAGGGCGGTTGGGAAAGGAATTTGCAGGAGAAAGGAACAGGGAAATAGGGAGAGAAGGCGGGTGAACAGGGAAAGGAAGTCATGAACATGCAAGAGGAATGCAATATGTGGAGGACCGGGAAAGGGTGGGTATATATCTCTCAAGGAAGCATCCAGGCAGAAGCAGAGGCAGCAGAACGAGCTGCAGCAGTTTCAAACCGTCGAAGAGAGGTAGGGAAAGTGGCCCTGCACCAGCCAGGCCCTGCACCAGCCAGAACCACACAGCAGAACCCACCTGGCGTTGAGCAGCAGAGCGCCCTTGGACAGAGCAGCGGGGCCAGCAGCAGCAGCGAGAAGCTTCAAGTCGGGTCAGAGGAACAAATTAGCACCCACCACATCATACCCACGCACGCCCTGCAGCGCCCACCTAGCGTTGAGCAGCAGAGCGCCCTTGGACAGAGCAGCGGGGCCAGCAGCAGCAGCGAGAAGCTTCAAGTCGGGTCAGAGGAACAAATTAGCACCCACCACATCATACCCACGCACGCCCTGCAGCGCCCACCTAGCGTTGAGCAGCAGAGCGCCCTTGGACAGAGCAGCGGGGCCAGCAGCAGCAGCGAGAAGCTTCAAGTCGGGTCAGAGGAACAAATTAGCACCCACCACATCATACCCACGCACGCCCTGCAGCGCCCACCTAGCGTTGAGCAGCAGAGCGCCCTTGGAGAGAGCAGCGGGGCCAGCAGCAGCAGCAGCGAGCAGCGCGGATAGAAGCCCCGTCCGCCACTGCAGTGCCGGTGACGACAAGAGAGGAGGAGTCTCAATCCAGTGCTATGAGGCCCTCTCCTGTCGTGTTGCTCCTGGGTGGGTTGGGGGGGGAGAGAAGGGATGAGAGCAGGAAGAAAAAGGGGCAGGAGAGAAGGGAGGGGCTGCAGTTGCGAAGGGGGGAGGAAGTGGCACGACGAGAGATAAGGTTTTCCAGTCCATTGCTACACGGCCCTCGCCTGGCGTGCTGCTCTGAGAGGGGGCTGGGGAGGAAAGGAGGGGAAGGGGGAGGGGAAGGGTTACGAGGGGGTGTGGGGAGGAGTTGGAAGGGGGGAGGCGTGAGCGAAGGATGGGGAGAGGAGGAAACGGAATGGAAGCTTGGGGGAAAAGGAAAAGGAAACTGATGTAGGGAGAAATTGGACTGGGAGGGAGGGAGTGAGGAGGAGTGGGTGGGTTGGGGGAGGAAAGGACATGAGCCGACTGAAAGGGAGAATAATAGGAGGGGTGGGATACCGGGAAAGTTGGGCAGAAAGGTAACGGAAGAGAAATTAGGAATGAGAGGAGGGTTGAGAGGTGGGAGGAGAGGAGGATGGTGTGGAGAGGAGGGTGGAAAGACAATGGCATGAAGGAGCAGAAGAGTGTAGGGAGATAGAACCAGGAGTCAGAGTATGAGCCGGCATGGGGTAGTAGAGGAGGGCCGAGAGGGCCGTGGTAGCATCGTTGGTCAAAAGAGGGGGGAGCGGGGGGAGGTGTGGGGTGGCGGGAGGAAGGGGGGGATGGAGGAGGTATTGGGGACAGGACAGATAGGGATGAGGGAGGAATGAAGATCCTCATGGATAGATATGGAAGAGGCAAATACCAGCCCACTCCACCCCACCCCACCCCACCCCACCCCACCCCAGCCCAGGCCAGGCCAGGCCACCCCGTCGCCTTCCTCCCCATTCCACCCCATACAGACCCATCCCACCCCAACCAATCCCCAACCACACACCAAGCAGTACTTGAAGTTAGGGGTCGCATAGACAGTGAGCGGGAAGGAGTGAGCAGCAACTGTGCTAGTGGGTGTGCGGCAGGGCAGAGGAGCGCAGCCATGTGGCAGCAGCGGCGCGGGAGTCGCAGATGGCCCTTGTGGGCACGTTGGAGAGAGAGGCCGAGCCCACTGCACCGCCTTGCACAAACACAGACGGCAACGAGGACAGATGCGCCGTCACCTGGCAGGGAGGATGGGGTCGAGAAGGGGAATTGGAGGGGGAGGGTGGGTGGTTGGTTGGTGGAAGGGATGGGGGAGGGAGCAAAGAAACGAATGAGGATCAGTGTACACGTGTGGTTGCAGCAGCAGAGGCTGGAATAAGGTTCCGAGGTGCCTGGGGCAAAACAAACTCCCTCTCTTCCTTCTTCCTTCAAAAGCGCCCTCTCATCTCATCTCGCTCACTTGCTCACTCACTCACTCCCCCATCGGCCTCCCCTTCCGCTCTTACCCCCACACCCTTCCCTCGCCACCAGCACTCATCGCCCTGCTGATGCTGGGTCAAAACGTCTCACAAAAACTAGCTTCATCAGTCAATCCATCCATCCTCACACACCCTCCTCGTCCAGAGTTGTGTTACCGATCCGCCTCCGAAAGACACGCCTTTGACACATCTCAAAACCCGACCTGACGGAACGGATTGCACGCAAGCAGCAAGACAGACACGTCCAGCAATGAAAGTCTAAGCAGCACAGATCCACAAGGATCCCGTTAGCGGGAACGAATCAGGAGTTACCTTACCTCTTTAAGAAGCTTGCTGTAGGCCGCCTTGCTGAGGTCCTTTGAGCCCTTCACTGCCACACGCGCTGGGGCCTTGACAGCTGGAGGACACAGGCCGGCACAGATGGGCACAGAGGGGTGCAGGGGAGTGAGAAGGCACCGAGGGGTACAGAGGAGCACAGAGGAGCACAGAGGAGTGAGGACGCAAAAGACTTCTCACGCCACTGTGCAGAAAGATTCTGGGGAGAATTTGGAGAAAGAAAGGGGGGTGGGGTGGAGGATGAGGGGGTAGGTTGGTGGAGGGAGGGACCAAGGTCATGGCTAAACAGAAAAAAGAAAAGCAACGCACAGAACAATAAGCTATAAGTAGGGTGGGCGATGCAGAAGAAATCCAGGAGCTACGTGGCGGGGGGGTTGTATACTTCTGAGGGGCGCCTAAAAGATAGGAGCAAGGAGTGGTGCACAAGGAAAATGGGCACCGTGGGGGGGAGGGAGCGGAGGAGGGGTGGCGCAGGGAGGGAATTGACGGCAAGAAATGTGCGGGAAGTTTTTCCCTCCCATGCTACCCCACCTTACCTCCCTACACCTCTCTCCCCCTCTTCACTGCGACACACACCAGTGGGAGGGGCAGAAGCAACGAGCTTGTTGGCTTCAGCGTTACCCTGTACGTGCATGTGAATGTGCATGTAACAAGAGACGTTTTCACTCCCTCCACATGCTCCCCCTTTTCGTCCGTCACTCCTTTTCCCCCATACTCCGTCCTTCTCACCCCCTGCCCAGTTCCCGCCCCCAGTTTTCCCCATTCCCCTCTCTCCGCCCATCTCAAACCTTCCATCCCCCCCCCGCATCCCCCCCACTCATCATCCCTTCCTCACCCCTCCCCCCACCCTTGCCTCACCAGCGGAGGCAGCAGCACCGAGCTTGCCAGACTTGGCGTTTATTTGCACGAGGCCTGCTGGTGTGACACCTGCTGCTGCCAGCGACCACTTGAGCGCGTAGCTCACACCGGGACCCTCCCTGAGGAGAGGGGGGGAAGGGAGAAGAAGGGGAGGATGGGGGTTGGTTGGTTGGAGGTGGGAGAAGCGGGGGGTGAGTCAAGTCAACTTAAATCAAGCCCGCCGCTGCCAGCGATCAGTTAAGCGCGTAGCTACTCCTGGACTCTCCCTGGGGGAAGAGGGGACGGAGAGGTGGGGGGGAAAGGAGGAGGGCGGGATGGGGAAGGGGAAGGGGAGAGAGGGCGGAAAGAGGGCCAAAAGGGGGGATTGAGTAGACTGGAATTGCGCCCGCTGCGGCCAGCGACCAGTTGAGCACGTAGCTCACACCAGCACCCTCCCTGGGGGGAATGGGAGGAGGGAGGGGAGGCGGGGTGTTGGGTGGAGTACGGCCAAGGGGGGTTGGGTTGTGCCGCTGACTGAGATGACTTTTGAGGCGCCTCAACAGGGGGTTGGGTTGTGCCGCTGACTGAGATTCCCGCGCCCGCTGCTGCGAGCAACTAATTCAGCGCGTAACTCACGCTGGGACTCTCTCCGGGGGGGGGGGGGAGAGGAGGCGCGGACAGGGGGTGGGGAAAGAGGAGGATGCGGAAGTGAGGGGGGGGGGGGAGCGGATAGAAAGGAGATGGGGTTAGGAGGGGTAGAAGAGGGAGACGGGGTTATTGAAAGAACAGCATAGCTCATGGCAGAACACTCTATATGGGGAGACAAGCAGGAGGGGGGGTGGGGAATGGAGGAGAAACCACGAAGGGAAGGGGGGAGTGGGGGAGTGGGGAGAGGGGGGGATTGGGTTGGGGAGAGGGGAACGAGACGGTGGAAAGAGCGCGAAAGAGAAGACATGCGGACAACAATGGATGGAAGGGAAGTGGACGAAAAGAAGGAGACGAGGAAGAAAGAGGAGAAAGAGGGCAAGAGAGAGAGGAGGGAGGAGGGGTGCAAACGGGGAGTGAGTGCGTGGTGTCAGTGAGTGCATAGGGAAGGGGATGGGAGGCAAGCAGGCAAGCACGCAAGCAGGCAGGGACGCATAGCACTAGTTACGAGAGAGAGAGCGCGCGGGATGAGATGAGGGCAAAGCGGACGCACGCGGGAGGGATCCTGAGGGCGCTACACATGGCCCAAGAAAACGACGTTAAGCACACCGCACCATAGCACACCAGACCACACCCATGCGCAGCACAGAGAGTTACGACTTGTAAGTCGACTCAGACGTCGGACGTGGTAGGGAGGGGTGGGACGGGTGGGTACGCACGCACCCGGAGAAGGGAATAGTGTGCTGCGCACCCGAGGATGCTGTGGGCTCCTGTGGGGTAGGTAGGGAGTGCAGCGAAAGGGTGAGGAATGGAAGGGGCGGAAGGAAGGGAGAGCGAACGACAGCGGAAAAAAAAGGTGATGAGTCGACAAGAAAGGAGGGCACGAAAGGAAGAGAGGGACGTGGAATGATCTTGAGGGACGGCAGCAACACCTCGGGGAGAGCACAGTTCACAGGTACGCACGAGAGTCGATGAAGCAACGAAGAAGAAGAAGAAGCAGGAAGCGAGACGAAAGGAATACCCGCTTTACTCTCATCGACCCTGAGGGTTACCGTATGCAACAATAGACCCGGCGAATGGATCGCGGAAGGGATTCAGCGCTTGGCGAACTTGCGTTTGACAAAACGATCATAAAAACAACCCGAAACGCTCGATCTTGATATAACTCATGCCTTCGCCAATTGTCCATGCATCTCGTATTAACGATTCCCACGACACGAAGCTCTCTTTCTAACGAGGCCTGGGCAGGAAAGGACGGCGACATGAATTAGGCGCGTGACACGGAGTGAAGGAGCTCACAGGTGAATTGGCCGATGCGCTGCTGTGGAATGACGCAGCACCGTCCACTGCTGACGTGGCAATATCCTGCGCGTGACTCACGGCAGAGAGAGAGCTCTGATTGCCCGCTTTCCGCCGGATCCGGCGGCAGCGACAGCGAGCCGTCGGATCACCGCAGGCTGCGTCATATCGTCGGTTCTAGCGAATGAGCGCGGCGAGATGAGTGGTGAGATCGGTGTGGGATACGGTGGGCGGGTGACGGGGGTGCGATAAGGAGCGGAGATGGTGACGGAGGGGTCGAGAGGGACAATGCCGAGGAGGATAATATCGAGGTGAGGAGGGCAATTTCCATAGTATTTGAAGAATCACAACAAATGAAACCATAAGAATGTCATACTTTCGGAGATAATGTACGCGTTGTAAATAACGTGCGTAGCTCCTTAAGTCAAGAAAGCCGTCTAGGTTGAAAGAGGGTCTTCAGGGGCTGTCGCTGATTGGAGGGATGGCTTGTCAAACATTCCTGCGAATCAAAGCACGGTTTTGCCAAAGAGATTGCGTCGTCGCGACCCCAGTGCTTTCGTTGCTGCCTGGTTACTTTTCAAGTGCCCCCGCACGTGCCCATGACGGGGATCAAACTGTCATGAAACGTACACCGCAAAGGATATTGAGTGGAAATAGAGATAAAAAGAGGCTTGTGAGCAACAGCATGCTGAATTTCCATCACCACGTTCCGCTGGACGGCTTGAACCCTGCCCAGGAAAAAACCTTCCTAATCCCTTCCTAACCCCTTCTCACTCCTGCACCAGTTTGAACCACGAGATACCGCTGTGATCAGTGTAACAGCTTTGCCCTCCAGGGTCCCTCAGCCAAGCCACCTTGTGTTGTGAGCCATTCCAGCAGCCAAGCCAAGCCATATACAACGGCGGATGAGTAAAGGCGGCATTAGTGTTTTGCAACGATGGCTCTGGAGCCTCATCACTTCCCTTCGACGCTTTAGATCCTGCGCACCCACTCCGAACTCACAGTTTCTTGCGCTTTACTGAGTAATACCGCAGCTCACGGGCCCTTAGTAGTGCCGCTATTGCCCCTCGGATAGTTGCTCGCGGCTTACGACAATTCTGCTCTTTCAAGCCAGCGAACGCGGTCGCGATGAGTAGTAGTAGTATTGGCGGTGCGATCCGCTGCGCGCCGAGCCGCTCCAGTCACCAATTCGCGATTCCGAACGCGCCCTCGCTTTCTTCCTTACCCGATCGTGTTTGTTTTGCGAACTGCCTTGGCGAATCGTCTTCTATCGCGTCCACCTTTCTCAATCGCGAGAACTCGACAACAGCGCGGATTTTACGCTGCGCCTCGGTGCAGCAAGGGGAATTTTCCTATACGCGCTACAACAATCATCCGTCACTTGTATTGACGCGACGCGCAACAGCCATCAGTCCCTGCTGCGACTCGAGAAATGTATTTGCGAATTGCGCTGGGTTCGCGCGGGGGCTTCGTTACAAGCACATGGACGGCGATGACCGATTCAACGGTCCAGATCAGAAACGGTCGACGGATGCCAAGTATGCGGGCAGGGGTGTTGGCCTTTTTATGAGGGATTAAGCCACAACCTTCCTCGTTATTAGCAGTGTCCTTTGCGAGAAAGCATAGGCATTGTACTCGTCTTTTATTCAGTGTGTCCCCGTGTGTATGCGTGCGCGTGCGGGCGCATGCGTGCGTGCGTGCGTGCGTGCGTGCGTGCGTGCGTGCGTGTGTGCGTGTGCGAGCATGCGAGCAGGCAGTTCGACGGAGTGACAGCACAGCCGACACTGGAACGCCACTCGACATATGACGCTGTCTCTGCTGCTCCTGAACCTGCCTCTGCCTCTTCCTTTTCCTCTCCCTCTTCCCACCCGGCTCGCACTGCCAACGACTCTCACCGCGCCTCGTCCAGTCAACATCTCTCTTCCTCCCCATCCTCCTCCTCCCCGTCCTCCTCTTCCTCCTCTCCCTCACTCTCCCCCCTTCCGTCGCTCTCTCCCTCCCCGCATCCCACGCTCCTCCTACCGGCCGTCTCCTCCTCTCTGGCCCCGGCATTGGCCGCGCTCGTAGCCCACCAAGTCATCGCCGTCCCCACCGACACCATCTACGGCTTTGCTGCTGATGCGCGGTGAGTGTGGGTGGCGTTGGGGGATGAGCGGGGGAACGAGGAACTGAGTTGACTTACGAGCCTGGCAAGCCGCCCGCAGTTCCCACCGACTCTATCTATGGCTTCGCTGCTGATGCGCAGTGAGTGTGGTGGTGAGTTGGGGGAGGTGGGGAAAGGGGTGAGGATGAGGGGAAGGGCAAGGGGAAGGAGGAGGGGGGGCGAGAGGGGGAGGGGGAGGAAGAGCTGAAGGGAGAGGAGGGGCGAATGGTGGTGGGTCGCTGTATCTTGTGGAGCGCTTCTCTCTTCCTCTCGTAAACCCCCTTCCCCCCTTCCTCCCTCCCGCCCTCTCTCTCACCGTCCATCAGTACCATCTTCTTCCTTCACCAGATTCCCATCACTCCCCTAACCCTTTTTGCTTTTTTTCCTTTTTTTTTTTTTCCCCTTTTTCTCGCCCCTTCACGCAAACCCTCCCTTCTCTTCCCCACCCTCGCCCCCCCTCCCCCGTTCCCTGTTTTAGGAGAATTTCCCTGCATGTACGAAGTTAATGAGTTTTGTGTTTGGTTTTTTTTTTTTTTTTTTGTTGTGTTCCTTTCCATCAAATTTCCTTGTTAAGCATTTTGAGAATACGCTCTCTTTATCGCGCATCTATACCATCACGACCTGGAAAAACTCGTTTCAAATCTCTCTTCCTGCGCCTCCTCCGCCCTCTCCCCCTTTCGCCCCACCCTGCCAGGTCAGCAGAGGGGATCGCGCGCATCTACAAGATCAAGGGCCGGGATTTCAACAAGCCTCTGGCGATCGCCGTTGCTGACATTGCTGACGTGGCAGTGTATGCAGAGACGGAGCACCTGCCGCCCGGGCTGCTGCCGGCGCTGCTGCCAGGCCCAGTCACTCTTGTGCTGCCCCACCGTGAGTGTGATAACTGGGCTTGCATGACATGCGCTTGCATGAGAATGGGTTGCATGACTTGCATGGGCTTGCAGTTGCTTTTGAAGCAACCTGCTTCCAGCTCCTCTCATGTTCGTGCTGTCCCACTGTGCTGCTTGGAGTGGCCTCCAGTGGAACCTGCCTGGTCACCCTTGTTCGGCCCTGCCTTCTGTGAATGCTGCTTTAAGGATGTTTGGTGTCATCTGACTGAATTTGCCTTCGACTTACACTGCTTCTGGCCCCAGTCATGTTCCGCTTACCCCCACTCCCCGCACTCCCCCACTCCCCTCTTTCTCCCGTTCCCCCCATTCTCCCTTCATTCTTCCACTCCATTCATTCCCCCATTCCTTCTCCGATCCACCCCCCGCCCCCCGCCCTCCCCTTTTTCTCTCCCAGTTCCCACCTCCCTCATGCACCCATCCCTCCCCAGCACAGTCCCTCCCTCCTTATATGCATCCTATCTCCACTCCCTCTCCTCCCTCCTCTCTCCGCTGCCCGTTGTCCCCCATTCTCCTCATCCCCCCCCATTCCCCACATCCCCCCTCCCACTTTCTCCCCTCCCACTCCCCTTCCCCTTCCCCCCCTCCCTCCCAGGTCCCACCTCCCCCATACACCCCTCGCTCACCCGCACGGTCCCCTCCATCGCGGTCCGCATCCCAGACTCCCCTTTCATCCGCTCACTAGCGCGCCTCCTCGCCGCGCCGCTCGCCCTCACCTCCGCCAACCTCTCAGGCCATCCATCCGCCATAGCAGCAGGGGAGTTCAGAGCATTGTGGGGGATGTGTGCCGCGGTGGTGGATGGGGGGGAGCAAGGGGAGGAAATGCGGCAAGGGTCTACAATTGTCGAGCTGGTGGTGCCGGGGCGGTTCAGAGTGATTCGGCCGGGCAGGTGAGGGCGCTGGCTGGCTTGCCCATAGAAAACTAGGAGAAAAGAGAGCACATGGTTCGCTCACTCACTCTTTTCTCTCAACCCTCATGAGGTTTCGGGGCGGTTCAGAATGATCGGGGCAGGCAGGTGGGTATGGTGGCCTGGTTAGGAGTCTTTGTGCCTGTGCCTGTGCCTGTGCCTGTGCCTGTGCCTGTGCCTGTGCCTGTGCCTGCGCTTATCTCCTTTCAACATCGTCCCAACCTCCTTTCAACCTCCTTCCGAGGTGAGTGTGGTGTGCTTAGAAGCCCCCACGGAGGAAGATGGTTCAGAGGCAGTGAGGGTGTGGATTGAAGTGGACTCGGAGTGGAGTGGTGTCCACGGTGGTGGCTCGGGGAGTGATTAGCTTGAGGCGTCACAGAAAGAGGTGGAGAGTGGTAAGGGTGGGTGTGTGGTCTCAGTTCTTACATGTGTTTGGATGGATGGTAAGGGGCGATGGATGTGTTGGGAGGGGTGGCGAGAGGAGGGGAAAGGAAGTTTGGAAATGGGTAGGGTAGCGTAGGGTAGGGATGACTAGGGTTGATTAATGTTCTCCCAACACATGTGCAGTGGTTGGGCATTGTAAGATGGTTCGGTCCCAGCCTTCTCTCCCTTCTTCCATCTTTTCCTCCTCTCCCCCACTCAACCCCCTCTCATCCCCCCTGCCCGCCACCACCCTGCTCCCAACCGTCACACCGCAGTGCTCTTCCGGCTACGCTCGCCACGCTCCATCGCTTCAACCTGGAGGAGTCGCTCTCGTGATACTCACTCACACGTGTGCATCGAGCCGCTTCAAGCCCCTCGTTGCCCACCGCGATGTTCCATCACCTGCACAGATGTCTCGAGATTTGACATGCCATGTCTCGAGGCCCGAAGAAGAGTCTCAGTGGAGCTTTCTTTGAGGTGTTATAGGTACTAGGCAAGTAAGACTTGGGTTGGGGTTTGAGAGGATCTGATGCAGTGACCTGCATCTCTCTGGTTACTCAGTAAGGCCTTGTTTTATGGTATGCCCTTTTCCTGACTGCCATTTGCCTATGCTTTTGGAATGCCATTGTCATCTTCTGTTTTTTTAGCGGAGGTTTTTCCGCTTTCTCTCTATTTTGAAGCAATCGTTTCATAGAACAAGAGTCACGGCGCTTAGCCTTTTTTTCACCGCAATTAATGAACCACGAAGCCGCCGCTTGTCTTTATGAAGTTGCAATCATGCTTTTCCTATCTAGACTCCGAACACAGAGCTAGTCCACATAGTACATCTCATCAGCATCCACCTCGGCATCTGACAGCTATGGTATGGCCTGTCGTCTCCTTTGAGCCACTCTTTTCCCACATCCTAGACTTCCCCTCTCCTTTGGACTCCTCCATCCCAACCTAGGTAACATTCTTGGTTGGGCTTTTCAGGCTCTGAGCTTGAGTGACTCTCCACCTACCCTGTATTCTGCATGCCTGCGGCAATGCCCTTCATGGTGAGAATCAACGTGTCTTCCAACCCAGGAGCATACACACTGGAAGGGTTGAGAGACACAACCTCCGCACCCCGGCTGGCAGTCAAGTGTTTCTTCAGTCTTGAATCACTCCTCTCGCTTTCTCCCTTAGACTCAGCGGCGGCGGCAGCGGCAGCGGCGCGCATGCGCTTGAGTGTGAGCACTTGCATGACGTTGAGAGGCGTGATGTAGGGCTCCCGCACCAACAAGCGCTGGCGGAGGGTGGGATTGCTCTCCAGGGGGACCAGGTGCCCACAGATCTGGAAGAAGAAAATTTGTCAAGGGGAGAAAAGAAAATGAAAGAAGGTTAGACACATGAGGTCATGAGGAATAAAGAGAGAGCAGAGAGGTGAAGATGGAGGCATGACAGGCAGAGGAGACGGAGGAGCGAGTCAGGGAAAGAGAAAGAGGGGGCGTGGGAGACAGAGGAGTGTTGAGGGGTAACAAGGCAGAGCGCAAACGGAGCTCGTTCCATACCAGCAGCACGAAGTTCTTGCTCTCCTCATACTTGTTCAACAGCAGCTCCCCCAGCTCCTGCAGGTCAGGCGGGGCCAACACATGCTGGTACAGCCGGGCCACACGCGGGTCACCCTTGGCAAACACCATCTCCAGCAGGTCAAGAGTAACACGGAAGAAGGGCCACTGCTGGTACATGCTCTGTAGCTCGTCCAGTGCGAGCGGGTCTTCTTCTACTACTCCGCGCAGCGCTGCGCCCAGCCCGAGCCACACGGGCAGGTGGAAGCGTGTCTGCGTCCAGGCGAAGATCCACGGGATGGCTCGCAGCGTCTCCACTCCGCCACCCGCTTTGCGCTTGCTCGGCCGGCTGCCGATGTTCATGCGCGCGAACTCCGTCTCAGGGGTCACCGCGCGGAACAGCTCCACAAACCGCGGGTTCTGGAAGACTACAGAGCGGTACTCCTCGGTGGAGAGCGGTGCCATGCGGTCCATCATGGCCTGCCACTGCGGCAGCGCGGCGCGCGGCGGGTTGAGGGTGTGGTGGAGGGTGGCGGCAGTGAAGCGCTGCAGCGTGCGGAAGCAGAGGTGCTCCTCGCCGAACGACTGCTCGATCACCTCGCCCTGCACCGTCACTCGCAGCCGGCCGTTCACCGTGCCCGGCGGCTGCGACAGAATCGCCAGGTGCGTCGGCCCACCCCCACGCCCCACCGTGCCGCCGCGCCCGTGGAAGATGCAGAGCTGCACGCCGTGCTGCCTTGCCACGTCCACCACGCTGGCCTGCGCCTTGTAGAGCGCCCACGCAGCGCCGAGGCGGCCGGCGTCCTTGCCGGAGTCGGAGTAGCCAATCATCACCTCCTGCACGCCGCCCTGCAGCGACAGCGACGCGCGGTACAGCGGCAGCGAGAAGAGGTGCTGCAGCACGGCGGGCGCGGTGGTGAGGTCGTCCAGGCGCTCAAACAGCGGCACCACGCGCAGCGGCGCCTTCACGCCCGCGGCGCGCTGCAGCAGCTGCACCTCGAGCACGTGCGAGGCGCTGGTGGCCATGGAGATCACGTACGCGCCCAGCGAGTCCCGCGGCAGCGCCGCCAGCATGCGGAACGTGGTGAGCACCTCGCGCACCTCGTCGCTCGCCATCTCCAGCAGGTCGTCTCCGAAGAGCGGGCGGCGGCTCTGCAGCTCGTGGGTGAGCCAGTCGATGCGCTGCTGCTCCGACCAGTCGTGGTAGGTACCGGCGCCCAGGTGCTGTGTGATGGCGTTGATGGCGTCTGAGTGCCGCGCTCCCTCCTGCCGTATGTCCAGCCGCACCAGCGACAGCCCAAAGCACGCCACCTGCCGCAGAGCGTCCAGCAGAGCGCCGTCTGCGACAGGCTGGTCGCCCACGGCTGATAAGGACTTGTAGCAGAGCTCTAGGGGCTCCATGAGTTGTTCCGATGTGGTGTAGATGTCATCCTCGTTATAGTCTGACCGGCCCTTGGCTATGATCTGCTGGATGTGGTCGCGGGTGTTCCAGAGCTTGTCGCGCACCTCCCCGAGGACCACCCTGTACGGCTCGTTGTCAGGGATGCCACGCCAGAACTCTGTAAAGGACAGGGGGCGAGTAGGGGTTCGTGAGAGGAACAATGTGGAGGAGAAAATGAAAACTTGTGGGGCGCATGGTGCCAGGGCGTGTGAAGGTAGGGAGGTACCCATGAGCGGCCTTCCAAGAGATGGCTTGCTGCAGAAAGCCGAATGGGAGAACTCTAGCATGGCTCTTCCTCCCTCACTTGGACGGACCGAAGGTGCACTTACCAATATAATGATTAGTGTGGCGCTTGGCACCAGAACGCACAGCTGCCGCCCGTTCCTTGAGCTCGTCACTGGCTCGCCACATAGAGAGCTGCAGATCAGTAATGGGAGCGAGGGATGGCCATTAGTAAGGAAAGAAGGATCAAGCAATAAGAAATCATAAGACAAAGGCACAGGTGCCTGCAACTTATACTTGATAATGGATGGCCGTTTTTGCACGAAAGGTGATAGTGGATGCTTGACAAATTACTCACGTCGAACATAAGGCTTTCTATTTGAGAGATGTACAGGTTGGTGACCATCAAGCGAGATAGGTACACGACGTCCTTGGTAACCTCAGAAGTCACGCGGGGATTTCCTGTAGCGGGGACAAAGCAAAAAGGCGCACGGTAAAACCATCCTCAGCAAACATGGATCAGAAATAGCCGTCCACAAACATACATGGATCGTAACTCCCAAGAAAAATTCCCACCCACATGATCCCAGATCGAGACCCCCCTGGTAAGGATTTCCCAAGAGGCACCCCAAACCCCTTCCCCACCCGCCCGAACAATTACTTCCCCAACACCTCCGCTCACCATCGCGATCGCCGCCCATCCAGGAGGAGAAGGCGATGATGGGGAGGCGGTAAGGCAGGCGGTGCGGTACGCCGAGGTGGCGCAGCGCGGTGTCGACGCGGCGCAGGAAGCGCGGCACGCCCTTCCAAATGGTTTCGTGCATGTAGCTCATGCCGCCGCGCATCTCGTCCTGGGGAGTTGGCTGCGACCGCCGAATCTCGTCCGTCCGCCACGCCGCCTGGATCTGCGAGAGGAGAAGGCGCGAGGGGAAGGCGCAAGGATTACAAAGGGAGTCGCTAAATTGAAGAGTGGTCATCTCAGAATGGATTAGAAAAGATGAAGAGATTTTGGAAACGAAGAAACACAGCAAATCAAGGGGGAAGGCTGACATGAGCTGCGTAGCCAACGCAAGGACTTAAAAATCAGGCGAGAAAGCGGGAGGGACCTCGGTATGTCAATTGCACTCGTTTCGACCCTACTAGTTTCGTGCAATTCTGTTTAACTTTTTTCAGCCGACTTCGAAGCGTATTGAATGGAAGCGATTGCATTCCGCGACATACCTCGCGTTTGATAGCCTCCGTGAGCTCCAGCTTTCGCTCGGCCGTGACCTTCTGCTCGTGCAGCTGGCCCAGCAGGGTGCGGATGCGCGAGTGCTTCTGCAGCAGCGACCGTCGGATGGACTGCGTGGGATGCGCCGTGAGCACCAGATCCACGCGCTGCTTGCACAGCGCCTCGTATATCTCCTCCGGGCTCTTCCCCGCCTTGCGCAGCTTGTCAAACGTCTCGACAAGGGATGACTCGGTAAGCGAGCTGCCCTCGTCCTCGATCGCGCCGTGGCGCTGCGACTTGAGAGTCTTCCGGCGGGCCATCTGAACTTCCTCTGCGAAAATTGCCAGTGGAATTGGTGAGAAGGGGTGAAGGGAGGGAGGTAGGGACACGCTACCAGTAAGAGTCATTCTAGAGGACGACGGCAGCAATGATTGATAAGGGTATTAGATTTCTCATACCCAAATATTTACCATCAGGATCTTGCCACGCGGAATTGCTCGATCTAGTAAAATCGCTGGACGAAGTGCGTCCCCCACGAGATGGATGAATTGCGTCACGACGGAGGTACGCGGAGCTGCAATCCGTCCCCATCATAAACTAACGACTTACATTTGCCTCATGTAAGCCTAGTACCAGAGACATTCTGGCCGTTGAGAGCCATGGGCGTACCAGCGATATTGCCGAGGGTGAGCATGTGCGAGAAGGCGGAGGCGCAGAGGATGGACTGGGCGGGGTCGAGCGACTCGATCACCTCCTGCAGCTTCGCGAGGTCCGCGGGGTTGTTGCTCTTGTTGTACGCCGCCGACAGCCCGTAGCACGTCTCCACCTGGGGGGACAGGGGATTGCGTAAGGAGGCGGGACAGGGAGAGAAGAGGAGAGGGAGAAGGAAGGAGAGAGAAGCGGAGAAATCTCGATAAATAGATGGTTGTTTCGAGGGATTGTGGGGGACAGGTTGGCTCCGAAATGGAAAAGTTAACACGGGTTGGATACGGGATCGGTGTGCTTTCTTATGTTTGTGAAGCCATGGTCTCTGTCCACAACGATGTATGAGAAATTATTATAAAAGAAAATAACAGAGAATCGGTAAATGAAAGTGGATCAAGGAGTATCGAACCTGACAGCGGACCTCATGAATTTCGTGAAGGACGCTTATAGTATCAACGACATTCAACCTCCCCCAGCGCGCTACCGCGGTGCGCTTACCGCCTGCGCGAGCTCATGGTCCTCCGCTTGAACCTCCCAGCACGCTATCGTAAAGCTCTTACCGCCTGCGCGAGCTCGTCGCCCTCGAGGTCCTTGAGAATGCCGAGCAGCGAGTTGACGAGCAGCTCCTCGTCCTCCACCAGCACGTCGTCCTCCGCCACCTTCTCGTTCACCTGCTCCAGCGCCTCGTGCACCGTCAGGTGCTCCGGAAACTCGTGATGCGCCGCCGCCTTGCCCTCTGCGATAAATCCGTTGGACTTTTCGGCCACGTGGATGCCGGCGAGATGCCCGTTGGCAGTGACATGGCTGGCGTCCGGTGTGGGTAGGGTAGCTGTGTCCGTGGCCTGGCCCATTTATTGGAACCGGGATGAATGTCTAGCGCCGCGCGTGGATCACGGACTTGGGAAGATGCTTACTGGATAGAGATGAAGGCAGAGTTTGAGTACAGATTTAAAGTCTATTCGAGGTTTGACTTGAACAACTATCTGCGAGTATTGCCGCGACGGGTTTATCCTATCTCCAAAAATCTGGGTGAAAGGAACGGAGAAGTGGAGGAATGAGAGGGGCGTCTGGTTGATTCGGTGAGAACGCGCCGCCATGTCTCGCGCGTTTGAGGCTCCAGCGGAATGTCGTACAGATCCACGAGCCCGCCCGTCTGCCGTGATTGCAGTTCAAATTGGTTCCCGCGGCGTCGTCGACTGAAGCAGAGCCTCCACAGATGTATTTGGAAGAGAAAGCCGATGGCGGCGCGACGAACGGACTCTGCTGGGGTAACGTTGACCAAACCGGCGCAATTGGAAGAAGTGAAGTTCCTAGGTGACTCACTACGTCAGCCGAAGGAACACGTGGAGGAGGGGGATGGAGCTGACCAAAACGTCTCAGGTGCGACCAGCAGTGTGTGGCTTGAATCAGATCATGCTGCACGAGACCTGAAGCAGAGTGCATCCGCCCGTCCGCCTGCCCATCTTGTAGTGTAGATTTGAATGCCGGTTCGCCGCGCAGAACGGGCCCATTCCAAACGGGGATTGAGATGCCCAGGATTTTGAGCCAGGAAGGATGGGGCGATTTGGCACCGACTGTGGCTTCCAGAAGTAAAGAGGCGTGGAGACGAACCTGGACATGGTTCTGGTAGCTTTAAAATAAATGAGCATATAGCCCATGGTTCTGAGGTGTATGGATGGATTACTATTATGGGTGCAATGGAACTAAATAACTAGGATTGCACTAGGTGTCAAAACAAGTACAAAGTATGAGCGAATGCATGAGCGAATATTTATACGAGACACATGCAAACGGTATTGCGGTACATGCAAGCTAGCTAGTGCTAGGCTGGCATCGAGGTTCGGGCTAGTCCCGAAGTGTAAGGAATTCTAATTCCTTACTGTACTCACACTTTAGCGAGGACATCCCGAGGGTATCGAGACGAACCTGTTCTGCCTAATTCGTCGCACCGAACCACTCCCGAGTCGGCCTCCGCTCCAATCGTGGCCAACCATCACCAAGCCATATTTGCCCTAACTACCTCTTTGCCTAGCTAGCATTTCCCCTACTGTAATCCCCCGCATAGTAAACTGTCAAGTGTTAATGTTATGATAGGTTGCAGTGAGGCACTCCCTTAAGGGTACAACATTTGTAGGACTCCTATTTGTATGCTTGCAAACCCTAATTCCAATCATTCCGTTGCATGTAGACTTTGAGATGGTATCAGAGCAGGTATCGATCCTCCGTCACGCCTAGCGCCCTCCGCGCCCTCCGTAGCGCCTAGCGCCCTCCGCGCCCTCCGTCACGCCTAGCGCCCTCCGCGCTCTCCGCGCTCCTAGCGCCCTCGCGCCCCTTAGCTCGGCCCTCAGCCCGCCCCACGTCGCGCCCCTTAGTAACCCCCCCTCCGTGCCCTCCCCTTCCCCTCCCCGTCGCATTACCTCCCGTCCCCCTGCCCGTCGCGTCGCCTCCCTTCCCCCTGCTCGTCGCGTCAACCGTCGCCCAGGCCCGCGCGTAGCCCGTCGCCCAGGCCCGCGCCTAGCCCGTCGCCCAGGCCCGCGCGTAGCCCGTCGCCCAGGCCCGCGCGTAGCCCGTCGCCCAGGCCCGCGCCTAGCCCGTCGCCCAGGCCCGCGCCTAGCCCGTCGCCCAGGCCCGCGCGTAGCCCGTCGCCCAGGCCCGCGCCTAGCCCGTACGCCCTGGCCCCCCGCCCATCCCCACCGTCAAAACCGCCCACCCGCCCTTTCCCACCGTCCAAACCGCCCTCCCGCCCATTCCCACCGTCGAAACCGCCCTCCCCGCCCATTCCCACCGTCAAAACCGCCCTCCCGCCCATTCCCACCGTCAAAACCGCCCTCCCCTCCCCTCTCTCACTGTTCATCACCTTAGCCCCACCGCCGCCTTGTGCGCGAGGCCCTCCCCAAATCTGCTGACACTGGTCTATCCCTCAGCGGCTGGCCGCCGCTCTCCCTCGCCGGTCACCTAGGTTAGAGCCGTTTTAGCCACTCATACCTCGCTCCTCGCACCTGTAGCTGGCGATCCACGATTTCACGCCTAGTCTATGTCCTCCTCCTCCTCGTTCTTAGCTCCGCCTCCGCCGTGCTCCAGCCGCCTCTAGCATGGGCTCCGCTATGGAGGCCCGTCGCCTCCGTTTCGATGCGGAGGGACGCCCAATCGAGTTCGGTACCTGGCAGCGCCAGACCACACGCTTCCTCACCAGCCAGCGACAGGACGGCGCCACTCTGTGGGCTCACGCGTCTGGTGCCCTACAGGCCCCCCCGTCCCCCGCCGCCCTGCCGACCACCCCGGAGCCGACCCCTACGGCCCAGGCGGAGTACGACCGTCGGGTCCTGGCCAGGGACGTGTGGCTCTCGCGTGACGCTGCCGCCGCTCTCACACTGTCGGAGCTTCTCCCCCCGACTGAGGCCGCCCACTTTGACCAGGTGGAGACAGCCAAGGGGGTGTGGGATGCTATTGTTGCCCGCTACTCCACCCCCTCCTCCGCCTCCCTCAGTCGCCTCCTCATGCCGTTTGTGTTTCCCGACCTAGGCTCGTTTGCCACTGTTTCCGACCTAGTGACTCACCTCCGCTCGCTTGACGCCGGTTTTCGTGCTGCCTGTACCGACGCACAGCTCCTTGTTGCTCCCCCCCCCATGTGGCTCACTGTGCACTGGTTAGTCACCCGCCTCCCTGACCGCCTTGCCACTGCCCGCGACGCGCTTCTTCAGAAGCACCCCACTGAGCTCACTATAGACCTCCTTCAGACTGCTCTCGGGACCATCGAGAGCAGCCTCCTCACCGTTGCCTCCGCCACTGATGCGGTGGCCCCCCGTCTCTTTGCGGGGTGTGCCGCCCCTCAGCTTCCCACTTTCACTGCTACCCGCGCTTCTGCTGCTGTGTCGGTTTCTGAGGACACCGCTGCCGTTTCTGCCGCAGACTGGCAGAAACGGGGCAAGAGTGGCAAGAAGGGCGGAAAGGGGGGAGGTGGGGGCGGTGGAGGCGGCGGTGGAGGTGGCGGTGGAGGTGGGAGTGGCGGTGGTGGCGGAGGCGGCGGAGGCGGCGGCGGTGGTGCACCAGGGGGAGGGGGCCTTGGAGGAGGTGCTGGACAGACGGGCCCACCGACAGGTGGAGGCCCGACCGGTGGGGGCGTTCCCCCACAGCAGCAGCAGCCACAGCAGCACCACCCGCAGCAGGGACAGCAGCAGCAGCAGGGACAGCAGCAGCAGCAGGCACCGCAGCAGTTCCAGCAGTGGGGGCCCCCGCTGCAGTGGGGTCCGCAGCAGCACTGGGGTCCCCCGCCGCAGTGGGGTCCGGGAGGCCCTGGGAGCACCAGCCGCAGCAGCAGTACTTCCAGCTGGGCCCCTCGCCCCCCTCGCCGTGACGCTGGCCCGTGCACTCACTGGTGCGTCACCGGGCCGGGTAGCCCCTGTCTCTGTGGTCGCGACGACCACTCTGCCGCGCGGTGCTTCCGCCGCCTCGACGACCTCTACCGGGCTCGTTGGGGCCCTTTGGCGAGCACGCCTCGCTGGTCTCGTCTGTTAGCCCGTAAGATTGATGTATTTGCTTTGTCCATGGACGATGCGCGTCAATATGCTTTGTATGTTGATGCTGACTCTAGTGCTGATGGATCTGTGTGCTCGCGTGTTCGTAGGTTAGACTGCTTGCCTCCTGCTAGTGTAGCCTTGTGCCTGTCTAGATTAGGTGCTTGTGTTGCTGCTCTAGGTGCTTGTGTAGCGACTGGGTCGAGTGACCCACCGGCTGAGGCCTCTCTTTCGTTCACGCTGGACTCGGGCGCGTCTCAGTGTTTCTTCCGCGACCGCACGACCCTTACGCCTCTCCTCACACCTGTGTCGGTGGCTCTGGCTGATCCTACCTCTGGACCAGCCGTTGCGCGTAGCTCCACCACCCTCCCGTGCCCTGTGGTCCCCTCTGGTGTCCTGCGTGGCCTCCACATCCCCTCGTTCACTCGGAACTTGGTGGGTGTTGGATACCTTCAGGACAGGGGGATCACGGTTACCTTCTTGGGGGGTGGGCGGACTGCAGTCTGTACTGACGCTACCACAGGTGCTGTTCTGGCCACGTTCACCAGGGAGCCCCGCTCCGGTCTCTACGTTCTCCACACCGAGCGCTCCCCGGTCGCGTCCTCCCCTCCGGTTGTTGCGTCCCCTCCGACCCAGGTCCCCAGTCCAGTGGCTGTGTCTAGCCAGGTAGTCGTGTCCAGTCCGGTCGCTGTGTCCAGTCCAGTCGCTGCGTCTTGCTCCTGTCGCTCTCTCGCCCACCGCACCGTTCTGTGGCACCACCGTCTTGGCCACCCGTCGATCCCTCGCCTTCGTGGCATGCTCAGTCACGGACTAGTCACAGGTCTCCCACGCACCTTCCCGTCGCTCCCTCTCTCGCTTGCCCCTCCTTGCTCTCCGTGCGTCGCCGGTCGCTTACGCGCCACTCCCCACTCCTCCTCCCTTCGTCCGGCCACCGCTCCCTTCGAGACTCTCCACTTGGACGTCTGGGGCCCTGCCCCGACGCAGGGGTCTGGGAGGGAGCGTTACTTTCTGGTGGTCGTCGACGACTTCTCCAGGTACACCACAGTGTTCCCTCTTGCGAAGAAGTCCGAGGTGACTGCTACGCTGATCAGGTGGCTTCTAGCCACTGAGGGCACTCGTGGTCGTCGAGTCAGTTGTCTCCACTCCGACCGTGGGGGCGAGTTTCGCTCCGGCATTCTCGGCGGATTCTGCGGCGAACAGGGCATCACCCAGTCCTGGACTCTGCCAGAGTCCCCACAGCAGAATGGGGTTGCTGAGCGCCGCATAGGCTTGGTCATGGACATCGCCCGCACGTCCATGATCCATGCCCGTGCGCCCCATTTTCTGTGGCCCCACGCGGTTCGCTACGCCGCACACCAGCTGAACCTCCAGCCGCGTGTCTCGCGGCCCGAGGCTTCACCGACCAGTCTTTGGACTGGTTCCCCTGGTGTCGGGTCGGCCTTTCGAGTCTGGGGCTGCCTTGCGCAGGTCCGCGACACCTCTGCGGACAAGCTCTCGGCACGCGCCATTCCCTGTGTCTTCCTTGGTTTCCCGGTAGACTCGGCCGACTGGTCCTTCTACCACCCGCCCCTCCACCAGTTCCTAGACTCCCGTGACGTCCGGTTTGACGAGTCCGTGTCCTACTACACCCGGTACCCTTGTCGAGGTCTCCCGGTACCCCCTCCCCCTCTTTTCCTCGCACCCTCTCCTCCTCCTGCTCCCGCTCCTCCGGTACCCCTGCCCCCCCCTGGTCCTGCCCCGTCTGGTGTGTCTCACGCTACCCCTCTACCCTCGGTCGCGCGTCAGGTAGCGTCTCCCTCCCCGCAGTCCTCCTCACAGCCCCCTCAGCAGCCTTCGGCGCTTCCGCGACAGGTTCCTGTGGACTCGGTTGGTGTTGGAGCTGGAGGTGCAGCTTCTAGCGGTGCTCGGTCTGGGGGCGCTAGCTCTGGGGGTGCTGGAGCTGGAGGTGCTGGCGCAGGCGGCGCTAGCTCTGGGGGTGCTGGAGCTGGAGGTGCTGGCGCAGGTGGCGCTGGCTCTGGGGGTGCTGGAGCTGGAGGTACTGGCACTAGAGGTGCTAGTTCTGGGGGTGCTGGAGTTGGAGGTGCTGGCGCTGGCGGTGCTAGTTCTGGGGGAGCTGAGTCTGAGGAGACTGACGCTGGAGGCCCTGGTTCTGCGGAGTCCACTCCGCCTCCCCACCGCCACGACACGCGTCTCCAGGCTGCCCGTCGGCGTGAGCGTGAGGAGCAGGAGCGGCTGGAGAGGGAGCGGCAGGAGCTGCGGGTGCTGGACCTTCTGGAGCAGCAGCGGCAGCAGCAGCAGCAGCAGCAGCAGCAGCAGCAGCAGCAGCCGCAGCAGCAGCAGCCGCAGCCGCCGCCGCAGCCGCAGCAGCAGCAGCAGCAGCCGCCTCCGCAGCTTCCTCTTGAGCGGCAGTTGTTCCCACCTGTGAGTGGCCTGCGGGCCCTTGGCCTTTCCTCCTCTCCTCCTGTCCGCTCCCAGTCTCCTCCTGTGTTTGTTTCTCCGTTGCCTCCTCCTGACGACCGTCCGGCGGTCTGGTCTTCTCCTCCTCCACAGTCTCCTCCTCCTTCTGTCCGTCGCGACTTGGTCACCCGTTGTTCGCCGCGTGCTCGTCACTCGTCCCCTGTTACTGACCTCCACACTGCCCTCCTTTGTTCGTCTCGTCGTCGTTCTCCTTCTCCTGAGTCCGTTCTCCCGTCTCCTCCTCCGTCCTCTCTCCCTTCCCTCCCCACTCCTATCACCGACTACTACCGCGCTGTTCGTCCTGTTGCCGCACGTGTCCTCGCCACTCTTGTCACCGACTCTCGTTTCCCTCCGTCGTCGGTCTCTGCTCTCACTGCCGCTGTCGCTGAGTTTGCTGCCGCCAGCCGCCTTGACTACGCCACCCGTGTGGTGCCAGCTCCTCCCTACCGTCCTCTGTCCGTCGGGGGTGAGTTTGCCCTTGGCTGTGACGTCCTAGAGGACAGAGAGTCTGAGCTGGAGTACTGGGCAGCCGCTTCTCCCTCTGTGTGTGCCATGCTGCTCTCCCCTGAGGGAGACCCCGACGCCCTTGACATACCGACTCCTCGCACTTACCGCGAGGCAGTGTCAGGGGCGTGGGCCTCTCAGTGGAAAGCGGCTATGGACTCAGAGTTGGCGTCTTGGAGATCCACAGGCACCTACGTCGACGCAGTTCCCCCTCCCAGGGCGAACGTAGTCGATGGCATGTGGCTCTTCAAGGTGAAGCGGCCGCCTGGAGCACCGCCGGTGTTCAAGGCGCGCTACGTGGCTAGGGGCTTCAGTCAGCGTGAGGGAGTTGACTTCTTCCAGACCTTCGCCCCGACCCCGAAGATGACTACTCTTCGGGTGTTACTC